AAGTTCTTGGCAAGGTTTTGAGTGTAGTCAGGCATTTTGAGAGTTTCTGGCTGTTACATAAAACTGTCAGCTTCTTCATATGATAAATCTGAAATGATACCTTTTATTAGACCAACTGAGAAATTGCAAAAGAAAAAATATCTTTTTCTGCAAGCTTTTGGGCTCATGTGCCTTAGGGAAAGTTCAAGATGGTAAAAAGTCCACATATGTAGGAAATACCTTTCATTTTTGCAGAGGAAGCAGAAACTGGAAAACTGTCCCTCTGCGTCCGTGACAGTATCTTACCAACTTGAACTTTCCTTGAGCCTGACAAAAGGGTGCATGAGCCCAAAAGCTTGCAGAAAAAAATATTTTTTTTTTGCAGTTTCTCAGTTTAATAAAGGTATCATTTTGGAACCAAGAGTTCTAGATTTGTCTCAGACCAACATGGCTACCACATACATCCCTGTAGAAGTCCTTTTGTCATTTAAAAATAGGCTTTGTTAGTTATGTGATTATATAAGATAAGGCACTTTGCAAATACACCTCCAGTATTCATACTCTGATATCACTTTAAATAAAAACTATGCCATGATGCTTCAGGCTGTGAATTCATCCACACTGTAAGACCAAGGAAGATTTTACAGGTTAGGCCTTGAAGGAAGAAAATAGGTATTTAAAGGAAGTAATTTTATTCTTATGTATGTAGAACTCATGTTCTTAATCAATACTCAGTCCATCCTAGAGCACTCTACTAAGCACCTCTGTGCTGGTTGCCAGATAAATCTTTACAGTCGAAGTCATTTATTGAAAATCCTTTATTAGTTTGTTGTAAGAGGAAATTTGTTAACTGTAGTCTCCTGGCAAAATCCCCATTGGGGAATCATTTTCTGCCTATCTAAAATTTCATCTGCAATAGGTTTATATTAAATGAATAAGTGTACTATTGTATATACTACTGTGTTGATGTAAAGGCTTGTTTTCAGTCATATATGAAGTAATCAGCATGTTTAAGTACAGATTTGATTTGCATAAATGTGTGTGTGCGCGCGTAATATATACTTAACTTCCATAAAATTTGTAGAATGCTGAAATTTTATACAGCCCTTCATCTCAAATTAATCCAGTTGATCTATGTCAAAACATAGTTAAAAGTCAGATATTGCAGATTGTGGGTTTTTTTGTGCAGCACCTTGCATTGTGTGGGTGTTGCCTGTCATAATATGACTGTTGGTTTTTGCAGATGTATACAAGGCCAAATAGCATAGTTTCCTCCAGCCCTCAAAGGAGCCTCAGCTCTGAAACAGATGGAGAGCGACAATTCAATCTGAATGGCAATGGTATTCCAACAGTGACACAGGCTTTAATGACTATGTATCGACGGAGATCACCTGAGGAATTCAACCCCAAATTGGTAGATCTCTGCTATCCTTGTAAATTATGCTAGTGAGAAATGTGGCTATTTAAATGAAGTTATTGTTTTTAAGTAACAATATTTTCCTAATTTTTAACCTGTTGCTGTCCAGTAAGAGCTTGAAGTGCTACTATCAGTGTGGTAGCTGGGGTCTTAGAGAACTCAAGTAGTGAAGCCTGCTAGTATTTGATGTCATGTCAGAATTTTGAAGCATGGCAGGAAGTGTAATAAGGTACTTAATATTAAAGGAGAACGTCAGGACATATTTTCCATAGCTGTGTGTTTTTTCTATAGTTTGTCAGGATAATATTTGTCACCTAATTTTTGGTTCTGTACCTGTTTTCAAGAGTGGTTTTGGGGCCAGTTGGAAAATAGTAAGCAATGGCAGACGGCAGCACAACAAAATTATAGAACTGGGTTACTGGCAGCTATTCCCTTCCTATAGCACCACAGTGACTAAAGAAAATTAAGGGCTTTGGCACTTTGCTTTTTTCTGATGTTTTATATAACCAAGATGCTACATCTCTTCATTGTTCATTTGTATGTCTACTTTTAGGCAAAAGAGTTTTTGAAAGAACAAGCTTGGAAGATTCACTTTGCTGAGTATGGACAAGGTGTCTGTATGTATCGTACAGAAAAAACTAGAGACCTTGTGCTCAAAGGCATTCCAGAAAGCATGAGAGGGGAACTATGGCTGCTGCTGTCAGGTGGGTATTGGGGTAAATTTGCCATAGAATATGACCTAGATGCATGAGAAGAAACAGTTGGCCAGGTTTTCAAATGTATTCAGGAGCATGAAGAGTAAGATGTGTGCCTAGTGGCATTTTCAAAAGTATTTAAAGTAGATTACATGTCTGACTTTGAAATCAGCATAAGTAAAGTGCCTAACACATTTTACTTCTTTGAAAATCCTGTAGGTATCCATCTGCATATTTAGGCATCTCAGTACCTTTAAAAATCTGATCCATAAACTACACAAAACATAACATGAACCCAGTCCCTGCCCTAAAAACTTGCAATGTTTTGACATCCCAGAAGTAAAAACTGTTTCAATGAAAACTTAGAGCAAGAAGAAAGCAACAAATATGCCTGTGTAGAGCTAGTCAAAGTCCTTACAAATTCTTAAAATAAACCTGCCCTTTTTGAGTAATGGGAAGATCTATGGGAGTCGCACTTTGAGTCAACTTGACTTCTAAATGGCTATTCCAATTTCAATTGACTCTGGCGTGTAGTTTGAACATCACTCAGTCCCTTGGCTTTTTTTGCTTTTGGAGTATTAGTTAAATATTTAAATGTGTCCTTTGCCTGTATAAAGTGGATTCACTTTCTAAAATGAAAATAATAACCAAAAAGTGTAACTATATATCAAACTATAACCAAATATTGGAGGGGGTGCACAAAGGAAAAGATCATTGGCATTAGAGCCAACAAAGGCATCGTCAAAAGAAGAGCTGGGTCATGCAACTGCTATTTTTACCTGTGCAATTTGGGCATTCACAATTTGTTCACTTGTATAGAAATTCAGTGCATCCATCAGTCTCTTGGTGAGTTGACATTGTGGCCCTTGTATGCTTACAGTTGGGGTGCCCTGATCTTTAATGTTTGTTTTACCTTTGTGTCCCCCTACTGTTAAATTTGTTACTTGATTGAACAGAGGAAGTTGGGGGATAAATTGAAAAGGGGAAATTAGCTCACATTACAGGAAAGTTGTCTTCTAAACTAATTACGAATATGGTTCCAATTTATGGAGTTGGCCAGGAGCAGGTATACCAGGAAGAGTAAAGGCTGGAGTTTTAGATGTGGATGTTGTGGCTGAGAAAGGTGTGATCCATTCTAAGGGTCTGAACACACAACAAGGATTTATACTCCTGCTGCTTCCCAGGGACTCTTTTGGTGTCTACAGGCAGGTCATTTAACTTCTCTGCCTCTCTCCATATCTTTTTAAAATAAGTATTTTACACTATACTTGTCAGGCAGAATATGAGGATTGATGTTTAAACTTTAGAAGATGAAAAGTTCCATAAACTGTCAGGTATATTCTGTGTCTAATATGTATAACAAGCAGCATTGCCATGGTAGTCTACATGAAACTGGGGAGCCAGCCAGGAAGGAGTCTGCCAGTGAGCTACTGCTCTCACTCTTGGCAGAAGGATAGTTCCCTGCTTGTGGAGGGGCACTGTGGAAGATCTGCCATTCTTGCATACATTCAACGTTTCGGTCCTACCAAGGGAAAGGGCTTATATGAAGCCACCTTATCTGAAGGAAGGCAACCAGCTGGTATTTTAGTGACTAAATACCATTCAGATTTTATCCTCTTCAAAATGATAATGCAATGTGTATTTTCAGGCTGCTTGCTTGGGTGTTAAAAATTACCATTCAAAATGTCTGAGTTAAAGGGGAGGACAAAGAACATAGTTCTGTTGTATGATGTCTACTCACCCTTGCGTACGTATCTTGTTTTTCTGTTGTTCTGTCTTGCTACTAGGAGCCATTAATGAGATGGCCACTCACCCCGGCTATTATGAAGACCTTGTGGAGAAATCCATGGGGAAGTACAACCTTGCCACGGAAGAAATTGAGAGAGATTTGCACCGTTCTTTGCCAGAGCACCCTGCCTTCCAGAATGAGATGGGCATTGCTGCCCTGAGGAGAGTCTTAACAGCTTACGCTTTTAGAAATCCAAACATAGGATACTGTCAGGTAACTGCAGTGTTTTGTCACTCTTTCGAGATCTGGCATTCCAGTTCCCATCTGTTTGGGTTATTTTATGCTTTCAGTCAGTGATTGGATGCTAATACATTTAATTGTGTATTAAATAATTTAGTTCATACATTTGATTGTGCATATGAGCGCTTGGGTGTCTTATTTGTGTACAGAGTTACACTGACACAGACTCTTGCACCTACACAGAGTCCTACTGGTTTCAGCAAAGCTACATTGCAAGTACCTGTGCTAATGGTACAGATGTGTTCTCAAGGGCATTGAGTGAAAAAGAAATGCACCATATTTGCTCATGTAATGGCTGCAGCTCTGAATGCTGTCTCAGAAAATTGAAGAAGAGCTTCTGAGCCGCAGCCACATTTCTGAAGAAAAAGATACTAAAGACCTTTCTTGTAAATAATGCAATTGGGGGAACGAAATGCATTTGTGTTCCCTTGGGGAGTGATTACAGTGGCAGACTTCTACTCCACTTAACTCCAGACAGCTCAAGAGCAGCAGTGCCACAAGGATTTCTGCTGGCATGTGGAAGCCATCTCTTCCATTAGCTAGCATAGGGGAAAACACCGCTTCCCTACAAAGAGAGTTGCAGCAGTTGCATTGTCTGGAGTCCCACATGGTATTGTGGGTGAAACTCAATTCTTTCATAAGTGCTCCAAGAAAGGAAGCACCTCTCATGGTAGGACACAGAGGCACTATTGAGACTTTCCATTCAGAACCATAAACTTATTGTGAAAAGAAGCAATAATGTCCAAAGCCTTGGTTTTCAAATATTTTGAAGTCTCTCCCATTCAGGAACATTAGGAAACATTAGCTGCACTTCATAGGGAAAAATGTTGGCTCGCTGAATTAAGATATAAACTTCTGAACTAGGATAAATCTTGATCTGCCCAATCCCTGCAGCACTAGATATAGCAAGGGAATTGGGAAATGATGTATACTGATATATCTTTTCCCCCCATTCTTGCAGGCCATGAACATTGTCACTTCAGTACTCCTTTTGTATGCAAAAGAAGAAGAAGCTTTCTGGTTGCTTGTGGCTTTGTGTGAACGCATGCTGCCAGACTACTACAACACAAGGGTTGTCGGTAGGTTGAGGAGAATTTATCAAAAAAATGTTTGGCACATTTCACAGAACAGGATTCCAGATGTTGGTACTGAAACCAATGGATGGTGAACAGAAGTGGCGAGGAGGGAGCCAACTCAAAGGCTTAAAGCAGCTACCTAGTTAGATATTTCTGGTCCATGTTAACTTCTTACCTGCTTGTATTAAGATGGAATTCTACTAAGGATTTCATTTGGCTTGAAGGAATCAGGCTAGAAATATTGGGAACAGAGTGTGGAAATAGAAAATTAATGTTGGAGAGGTTGGGTTTGGGCAGCTTGATTCCCTTCCAGGTCATTCGTCTAAAATGGCAATAATAACTACCTGCATGAAATAACTTGATCTTCCCCTTTCATTTCCTATGACAAAAATCATTACTTATTGGTGCCTTTGCTAGCAAAAATGATACTTGGGCTGCCCACTCAACCCTGGAGATGGTTTTACCAGATATGTTTAAGCCATTATTGGTAAGAGTGGAAATGCTTATATTGCTGTTGCCTATGTAGTACATGTTCTGTGGACAAAATCCTCCAGCTTTCTGTGCTGCCACAGGCAACTTTTGCAAGTATTACATTCACTTTACTAATTTAAAAAAACCCCAAAACTAGCAATCGCGCATCTTCTAGTGGCTACAAGAATTAAAGTCGCAAAAGCGTGAAAGAGAGGTTATGCCCCTAAAATCACTGAATAGTTTTTTTTTAAAAATTGGGAAATTTTAGCAATGGAAGAGTTATCCTATCAAGTCACTGTTCTGCAGGGGAGAAGGGAAACCAATGGTTATGTAGAAATTTGGTAGAAATTCTTGGAATTTGCTTAAACAAACAAACAAACAAAAAACTGGCTTCAGAAAGTTTGAGAAACTTGTTTTTGAAAGATAAAGAAGTGCAAGTTGTATGAGTTTTTTCACTTAAGAACAAATTTGGAATAAACCTAATAGAAGTAGACAATAGCAAGATTTGTATTAGCTTTTATATTAGATTGGTATTGCAGAGTTCTGGGGAAGAAGAGGGGGTGAATTATACAGAGATGAACAAACACAAAAGCTTGACATCAATTGAACGTAAAGGAACTGTCAGAGACTGAAAAGAAGAAAAGAAAAAAACACAAGCCTGTGGACGTTTACTTGGGTGAAGGGAGCACTGTTGATGGAAGTTAAATATCTCCCTGTATGTATATTTTAGGGGATTGGATGCATCCTCCTCCACTGCTACCAATCCTGTGATGCTAAAACAAATCCATTAATGGTGGATTTAGGGACCCACAGATGCCAAACTGTCTTAGACTAGAAGTGTCAAACTCATCCGGCCCCACAGGCTGGATGAGGGGTGTGAGGCCAGTTTGTAGGTCAGTTTGGGGTGTCAGGCTGGTCCCACATACTAGACCCAGTGTGCAGGACCAGCCCAGTGTGAGTACCACATGAACTATGTGCCCTGCAATAGCCTCACGTACTGTATGCAGGATGGACCAGCCCCACATGTAGTATGGGGGGCTGGTCCAGGACATGCACTAGCTATGGTGCATAGGGCCAGGCTAGAGCACATGCTGCATGTAGGACCCACACCAGAGTAGCCCAGGGTGCTGGCTCCAGCATGTAGGGCCAGTCTATGCGCCTGATCTGGACCATCAGGCCCATAGACTAGATCCAGTCTGGACATCTGGATCCAGTGTGTAAGGCCAGTCCAACACAGATGCTGCCTGCAGTGCTGAGGCTGAAGCCACTGTGTGCTGTGTGAAGCCCACAGCAGATGGGCTTCTCACAAGTGCACTGCATGTATCCACAAATGGCATTGCAGGTTGGATGATAAGGCTCCAAAAGCTGGATCAAGCTGACAGGCCATATCTCTGACGCCCGTTGCAGACCAGGAAAAACCCCTATTTATTCTGAATAGGTTTTTGTAAACAGCTAGCCCCTGCATCCATGGAGGGTGACCTTTTTTGGCAGATGTGCCAGACACCGTCTCCCACCCCATCTTCATTAAAAAAATTTGGCGACTGTGGCATTGATGCTACACAGTCAGATGGATTGCA